GAGAGAGAGACGACTGCCGCGCGGCCGGATGTGAGTGCGCAGGTACACAGAGAGAGAGAGAGAGAGAGAGAGAGAGAGAGAGAGAGAGAGAGAGAGAGAGAGCGGGCAGATGCGACTGGCCAGGTAGAGAGACAGAGAGAGAGAGATGGGGGGAGAGAGAGAGAGAGAGAGAGAGAGAGAGAGAGAGAGAGAGAGAGAGAGAAGCAGACAGAATCGTCGAGAGGCAGAGAGAAAGGAGGTCGAGTGGAATAGAGGAGAGACAGAAAGAGAGACGGTGACGAGCGGATGACAGCACGGACCGCCCTCCCCCCCCCTTCCACTTTCGCTCACCCTCGGCTGCCGCAGCGTAGCTGCGGCGGGTCCACTTGTATATATAATAACAACAACAGCCCAAGCAGATCCTAGGGGTGCTGATAAGAGCAGACACCTCTAGCACTGTCCGGGAGGGACGCTGGACCCGCTTTCAAGTAGAACCGATAATTGTTATTTGATTCTGTTTAAACTTTTCAGCGCGATAGGCAGTCGACAGTGTATGTTGTTGTGACATAGCCCTTGCATAAGCCCTCTATCCCGGCGGTGGTAAGAGAACCGCCAGAATTGAGGGCTTATTTGTCAGGCTGCTCCATCTATTGGTAGGGAGCCGCACCTGCTGGAAAACGGGTCCAGCATCCCATTGATACATCTGGTAACACTGAAAGTGCTGTTTGTTGTTTCCTGGGGCTGTGGACATTTCTGACTCTGCCCGGGGCTCCATTTGTCCCATGGAGCGGCTAGTATCACCCATCCATTCTTGGAGCGCCCCATGTCTATTAGCCCATCCCCTGTACAGCAGCCCCTTGTTCATTATTGCTGTGTGTGTCCCTTCAATCTTTAAACCTTATACCCTCTCTAACGCCATGCATCACATAGGGCTGCCTTTCGACGTCCTTCTTAATAATTTTTTGTTGCCTTTGTTTTTTCGAAGTATGATTTGTTTTTCCCTCTGGTCGCTCAACTCCGTTAATGGGGAGAAGCGCCTGCTGGAAACTGGGTCCATCATCCCACATGCAACATTAAGGCCGTCACATATCGATCTGAGCACCTGGGCCATTACCCGACTTTGGCTGAAAACATAACTGAAAGATGATCGTTTCTCAGTACTCTAGCATGCCTCTGCAGTCCCGCCTCTGTTGCGGCTGGCCCCCTGATGACAGAATTATGCGTCTTCGTTTGCTTATAAACCACCAATGCCTTTTCCCGCTTGCAAAAAAAAAATACCGTGGCAGTTAACATGGAAGTTCAGCAGGGAATCAAAATGGCTGGTGGCGCCAGCCAGATACATCCGTGGCGGTTCGTTCTTCTCTGTCGCACGCGGGCCGAGTTCAGGCCTGCGGCCAATATACGGGAAAGGTACTGGTGGCTTAACAATGAATCTTGTTTTGTTGCAGGTTTTTGCAGAAATGAGCCAGTTATTTCAATTCTGACGATTCGTGGCTCTCATATAGCCCCTTTGTGACTTGGTAGTTGTTCCATGAGCAGTTCATCAGTAGTTACTCATGACTCTCCTAATTTTCTTACAATTTTTTCTAAATCTTATGAGCCAAAGCCAGGTAATGGCCCCGGTATCTCAAATGTTTTGTATCATTCTATCATTCCATATGGGATGCTGGGGCCTGTTCCCAGCACGTGCTGCTTCCCCACGAATTGATCAAGCTTTTGTCCCAAAAAAATACAAAGAGGGGAGTGGGCATTGTGGGGGGGGGGGTGGAGGACATGGAAAAAAAATAAAATGATAATGAATCTTTGATTGATCAGTGGTTTCATTACTTCTTCACAACTAACTTCTGATTGACTTTTGATTTTCTTTTTCAGACTCTTATTGTAAATTCCTCAATCACTGTTGCTGAGATCTATCCACACTTTAGTTTTTTTTGTTTTTTTATTTAATTATAAAACAAAGTCCAGGTTGTTGTAGCAACTGGCTACTAGGCATATGACAGGCCTGCCACCACCTGACCATTTGATCATCCCGATGCATTGCCTAACCGGTCCCCTGTGAGACATCCTCCCACCCTTACTCATCATCTCTATCCCCAGCGCATCCCTACTCCCACAGTCCTTCCTGAGTATACCCAGGATCATCACCCACTGGCATTCTAGTGATCGTTGACCGGACAGCGGTTATAGGCATCATCAGGGCTAAGCTGGTTCTCACCGTGACCTCCCTCCCCAGCCCTGATTGACCCAGAAATCTTCATTACTATGCTCATAAACAAAATCTTGCGATACAATCTGAAAAAGCTCAGACTTCCTTTTTTTTTTTGGTCGGCCGCGGGCATCTGGTAGCCTACTCCTGAAAAATAGTCGCCATGCCACCGTCGATATTTTTCATCGATGGCCCGTGACGGCCAAATTTGAATTTGAGGCCCGTACCAGCCCCACATATGAGAAAGGTAGTGGTGGTTCAAGGAACCAGTGTCTTTGCTTTGCTAGGAGAGGTGGTACGAGCACTTCCTCCTAGTGAGAGTCCTGGGTGCTCCGGTCTATTGGTGGGGAGCAGCACCTCCTGGAAAGCGGGTCCAGCGTCCCACTATACATCAGAAGGCCTGCGAGCATTGATTGCCCTGTTTCCTGTAGGGATTGACTGTGCAGGGTTAATGATAAAGCTCATAACGTTTTATTTTATTTTTTATTTTTTTATTTTTTTTTGGACCATTTCTCGATTTATGCGTGTCATCCTTGCGCAGGGGCCATGCTAATCTTCTCCCAGTTCTCTGATTCGTTCCAATTTTTACGGATGTCCCAAAGGACAAAAAAAAAAGAAAAAAAGAAAAAAAAAAAAGAAAAAAAAAAAGCTCATAATTCCTAACTTCTTATTTTTCAAATACCCGATCTCACTCTCTAATTTGTAATTTCTATTAGTAATTTCTAAAATCAGATTTCTAGAGTTGAAAACTCTCATTCTTAAATTTCAAATTTGTGAATATCTATAAAAAAAAAAAAATTAAAAAAAAATTGTGAATATCCTCTTGGTTCCAGGTGCAATTTCGCTCTGACACGTCATCAATTATTGCGGTGCATAGGGGATAGGGTTCAAACTTCGAAGGTTTTAGACGTATCTCTTGCAATATGTTTCCTAATAATGATCTGTGTTTCTCTTGAGCACTTTCTGATGGGGGGTTTGGGATATAAGACTGCCTTGGAGCATCTACTTTCGGGGCAGGTATTGTGGCCCGGAGGAAGCGACCTCCGTCCTGCAAGGATCACACAGAGGTGTAATATGTCTTTGAGAGGTAGGGGCGGATATGTAGGGTTAGCTCTATTCAGCGGCTGAGGCTGATCTTTGGGGTGTGGATCAGCCCTGGCGGGGGCTGATAGAGATATTAAGCTTAGGGCACTTTTTTTCAGCAGGGAGTGGTGCTAAGTGGGCTGTCCCACTCGGAGGGGATGGGATGGAGGCGATGGGATGGAGGGAGTGGGGGAACTGCTGTTCCGCGGGGGCATGCTTAAGGTGGGAACTGTATGCCTCCGAGAGAGCGGGAGTGACGGACTAGACGGCCTGTCCTAAACTGGGGACGATGAGGGTACGGGTGGCTCCTCTCTACAGGGGCGGTTTATGGAAAGGGGGAAGTTTTTCCTCCGGGGGGAAGGGCGTAATTTTCAGTGGCTATGCTGTGAAGCCTCTCTATCCTCTGTTTTTTCGTTAAACCACCAGTACTTGGCCCAGCTATCGGTCTAGATTCTAGAAACATTTCTAGTCGGATGAATTTGGGCTCTCC